TATCATTGCAAGGTAAACAGACAACAGTGTTTCAGGCCTATAATAAAATAACTACTTTTAAAAGAAAATTAGATTTTTGGATCATTTGCATTGGTAAGAAAGAAATAGAAAGTTTTACGTTACTCACTGAGTTTGTTAGCGAAAACGACTCAGAAATGTTTGAAGATAATGTGTTTGAAGAATTGGTCCAATATCTCAGTTCGATGCGCGCATCTTTTGAAAAGTATTTTCCCGAAGAACACAATACAAAAATTAAAGTGAACTCCTGGATTCATAATCCTTTTTTACCCAACTTGGAAAAGCCTGAAAACATGTCAAATGAGATATATGAATCTCTTTTAGAAATGTCATCAGACACAAGTATGGAGTCATTGTTCAAAACGACGCCTCTTAATGATTTTTGGTGCAGAATCCAAGATGAATATGCAATGCTTGGCCAAATGGCTCTGGATATTCTTCTCCCGTTCCCAACTACATATTTGTGCGAAACAGGATTCTCTACCTACGCAGCCACGAAAACAAAATATCGCAATAGACTGGACGCCGAAGCTGATATGAGACTCCAACTTTCTTCCATCAAACCTGATATCAAGCAATTGATGAAAAATAAAAAACAGTTTCATACCTCCCACTAGTTAGATTTTTTCTTTTTTAATGTTTTCTATTATTGTCCTTACCAAGTGGTGAAGTAAATAATAATTAGTAACGGATACATTGTACTTTTATTATGCTGATTAATATAGAATACACTTATAAAAATAATTGTTTTATTGTAGGGTTCCATCAAGTATTTTGCTTCCCAAAAGGGTTCCGTCATTTAAAAAGTTTGAGAACCACTGGTCTACAGCTTTTCTCAATGGAACAGTCAAAGAGGAAATCTACATGAACCAACCTGAAGGCTTCAATGATTGCACAGAGAGAGTATGCAAGCTGAAAAGAAGTCTTTATGGCCTAAAACAAGCGCCTTTGTGCTGGAACACCTGTATATCGCAGTATCTGGTGGAATCTGGATTTAAACAATGCACTAATGACCCTTGCCTTTATATACGAAACCAAGTACTAATTGCACTCTACGTTGACGATGGATTAGTAGCGTCAAGTAGTGAAGCAGCAGGCGTTAATTTCATAAAGGAATTAAAGCAGCGGTTCAAAATCACAACAAAACCAGCCAGCTATTTTCTTGGTCTCGAAATTGGTAAATCTAAAGATGGTGATATAACTGTACACCAAAGGTCTTACACCAAGAAAATATTAGAAAGGTTTGGCATGATTGACTGCAAAAGCGTTCCATCTCCTGCTGTAAAAACCTTGAAGGAGGATGATGACAAAGGAACCAACATAAACTTTCCTTATCGCCAAGCGGTAGGTGCGCTGGCATATCTAATGGTCGCCACAAGACCTGACATCAACTATGCAGTGAGTATGGCTTCAAGACATCTTGAAAATCCAACGCAGATGGATATTTTAAAAGTAAAAAGAATTCTAAGATATTTGAAGGGAACTATGGACACCGGACTAATCTTTAGAAATGAAAAAGTCAGAAAGCTAATCTGCTACAGCGATGCAGATCACGGTGGAGACTCTGTTACTGGACACTCTACTACAGGCATGGTGTTCTTGTTTTTCTGGACCAATTTTCTGGAAGAGTCAGAAACAATCTTCTGTAGCCATATCTTCTACAGAAGCTGAGCTTATAGCGCTCTCCGAAACTGCCCGGGAAACTATATGGCTACAAGGACTCTTAGAAGAACTGACAGAAGTCGAAAAGCCTATCATATATGTAGATAATGAATCTGCGATAAAATTATCAGAAAATCCTCCCTGCGAATATCATAAAAGAACAAAACATATAAAGCTTAAGCATTTTTTCATAAGAGAATGTGTCACCAAGGGTGAACTATCTGTGAAACAAGTTTCCTCGGAAAAGCAACTCGCCGATATGTTCACAAAACCTCTCTTTGGACCAAGACTGCGAGATCTAAGTAAAAGAATTGGACTCCAAGGTTTGAACTGTATCAGTCCCTAAAAGTCCTGGGGATGTTAAGAGGACAGCCTTTATTATACCACGAGTAATAAAGAGTCTTTACACTCTTCATAGATCTCTATGTCTATAAAAGAGAGTAGTTGACATTGTCAGCTGTCTTGTAAAAATATATTTAGGTCTTGTGTGTCTTTTATGTAAATACCAAATAAAACTATTATATTTAATTATATTTCCAACTTTGTTTATGTTAATTGCCCATCAAATATAAAACTTAATAGTACTTATAAAAAATTGATAGACGGGAAGATAATTTTCAGTATTACGAAGAAGAGTTAAGTTGCGGCACAAAACTAGCGCTGACCGTTAGGCATTGTCCTAATACAACGCGATAACGCGAATGAGCGATGCGATCATCGTACGAGTCGACGATCAAACATATTGATCTAGAATAGGTGTCCTAATAGGCGAACGCGCGATGCATTCGCGCGACTAAAATGTTTAAAAATCTATTCGCGGGAACTCAGTTCGCGCGAACGTGTAATCAAACCTATTAATGATGAATAGATGTCCTAACTGAAGTTCGCGCGATGATCGCGTCGTCGCGTCGATAGGAAGCGGGGAGAGGGGCACTGCTAACCCGACCAAACTGTGTGTCAATCGTGATCGCGTATTCGCGTTCTATGTGTCCGTTATGCTAGCGTACCCACGATCAATATACGGTTTTTCGTTATGCCATTAAATACTGCGTAAATAGTGCCAAATTAGCGTAAAAAAAAAAAAAAAAGTGCCTCTTTAATTTAAGAAATAAAGACCATTTTTACTGTGTACGCTACCATGACGTCAAGCTAGCGTACCCCACGGACCTAAAAAAAAGTGCCTCTAACAGTAAAAGTATTTTATGTTAATTCGCAGTAAAACAATATAAAAAAAGCAATTAAATTATTTTTATATATGAAGTACAGTCATGTACAGAAGTAATAATATTTTCGTATAGTAGGTAAGTAAGGTACTTAGTAGGTAGGTAGGTTGAAATTCTTATATGAATTTATGATTGGTGAATTCGAATTGAAATATAATATCTTTTTATAAAAAGTACCTATTTATTTTAGTAAAAATGCATATAAAGATAATCTCTTAGTGCATAAATTAATTTTGTGTGTAACTGTACTACGATACATTTGTTCCTAGAATTTAACACCCTCTTTATGTATTGTTGTGATGCGGATTCACATAAAATACTTTTACTGTTAGAGGCACTATTTGACACACTATTTATACATATAGAATTGATAACGAGAAAAGTTCATTTTCTATGAGAACTATTATGGGTACGCCAGGTTGACGCCAGCTAAGATTGTTTAGTTCAATATCTTTGGTCCTTTAAGAGTGTTGATTATGAAATTTTGTAAAGCCAGGGCACTATTTGCGAACTATTTTTGTATGTCAATTTCGTTGCTTAAATATATGCCGTTCTTGGGGTCGGCCATGGGTACGCTAGCTTGACGTCATGGTAGCGTACACAGTAAAAATGGTATTTATTTCTTAAATTAAAGAGGCACTATTTTTATTATTTTTACACTAATTTGGCACTATTTACGCACTATTTAATGGCATAACGAAAAACCGTATATTGATCGTGGGTACGCTAGCATCACGGACACATGTTAAATCTGTCAACATTTGAAACGAATAAATTTTTTTGAACCTTTTTTCAATGTCTGTTATTTAAATTAAAAATGTAATACTTACGACTTATGAAGAACGAAAAATATGTGGCTATCAATGACGTTTAATGTATAGACAGGGTAAACGCCAACATTATTGCATTTTAAAATGTCACAAGTAGTCCCCGCTCCAAATTCCCTTGGCAACAGAACCGCACTAAAGTACTCTCTTCAACTCTCATGCTTACAGAAAATTGCATCTCGCTCTTTAAATGAGTCAACGGTGTCAGCAACTATCAAAATAAGTAATAAATCACTAAATATTTTTACATTAATTTCTTTAATACTGTACTCACGATTGAAATAACACGTTTTTCTTGTCTCTAATACGTAGTTCCCTTGTAATTTGTGTACTATCTAAAATCACTTAGGGCTTTTTGTCTGGAAAAACATAAAACACGTTGTAGCGAAGTGTAGCCGGGGCGAGAGAGCATACCACAGATTACTCAGATTATGCGAGCGTACCCGACCGACCGAATGCAAGTCGGGCAATTACCTGATTTGCGTATTGCCAAATTAGAAGCGTGTATGACGTATTTTTAACTATCAACATCATAGGCGATGGAATAAAAGTTTCACCTTTAAAGCTCTCGCTTTAGACTAGGAGTAAAGTAGTCTTTTAACTTTTTGTTGGGTTTTGTTAAATATATATGCATAGTTAGAATATTAAAAAGATCTTTTATTTTTTGGTTCTTTTACCCCAACAGAAACATTTTTATTAGAAGTAACTTTAAATAGAATTAGACAAATTCGTAATGACAATAGCTCAGTTAAAGGAGACGGTTCAAAAGCTGTAGTCAGTGCTCGGCAGCGAAGAAAAATATATCATTTGGCCACCCTGTCATAAGTACTGTCATATTTTTAGTGTTTAGCAGCATAAAACGTCAACTCACTATGGCAAATCTCAATCAGTAAAATTTTGCATGATATTCGCGAAATCGTGGTGAACTTATTTTACCAATTTATGATTGATTCTTCTTGACATAAAATATTTAAAAATTACGGAACGATGTAATCGAAGATGAACAGAATAGTTCATCATTCTATAATGAAAAACGGAGATAAAACAAATTCTACAATTAAGTGCAGTACATGTCATAAAAATTTGGAGTCCGCCGGAGATCGACAAACACCCTCCATAGAAATTTGAACCATGTCCTTTAATTCTGAATTGACAGCAGAGCATCCTTGTCATTCTTAAATGAAAAGGAGACTGATGTTAAAATAAGTTTCATGATCATAATCATGCCAGACACGCGACACTTATGAACTACAACAAGTTATTCCATAATTCCTCTACGCACTATCCATTTTTCTGGATCCCGCATGCAGGACAGCGTTATACATGTAAAAGAGACGGACATACAGGATCTCTTTTACGTGTATAGCGCTATCCCATGCATGCTCGGAATGCATGGATCCAGCAAGATGCGTACAGTGCGTAGAGTATTAAAGATGGGGATCCACACGCAAAACTTAGCGAAGATGGCACCAGTGGCACGATAGCCGCTTTCAAATAATTTTGCTTTGTTTGCAAACCCCTATGCACATCAGATCTGAGGCATATTAAAAGAAAATTATAACAGAATGGTAGGTTACAAAATGTATGGAGCTGGCAAGTTTCACAGCCACAGCGACGTGCGCCATCTGGCGTGATAAAATGGCAGTAATGGACTTGATTAAAAAAATCAGATCAAACTTTTCAAGTAGAATTTGATTGTTGTCAAACCAATATCTGCTATGTGCACTTCTTGAAGATTTTGACATTTCCATCATTATGACTAGTATTGGTATAATAACTGTTTCTCGGATACCAACACTACTATGCTAGTCTTTAGCATTATAACAGTGAAAAGTTTGCTTAAAAAATATAAGTGCATCAGACAGAATATTGTCAAATCTAACCTGCTGTGTTAATTACATTTTTATTTTTTAAGCTAAATAATAAATTTCTAGAAAAAAAACACGCGGCCAGACAGAATACGGGACTCGTATGCACTGACCAATAAAGCTACAGCGGCCTTAACGGCCGTGTCGAATTTCTTCTCGATTTTCTTAGACTGCAAGGTAGCGCCATCTCTTCGCGATGTAGCTAACCCACGCTATGTTAATGTTGATTTTTTTTTACATAGCAGATATTGGTTTGACTACAACTATTCTCTATATACATAGATGTATTCGAGTTTTAAATTTATGAAACAAATTGTAAATAAAAATACTTATGTTCCTGTTTCATAAAAAGTAACTACAAACTAGAACTTAAAAAACACTTTAAACAATTAACTTTTGGAATAACTAAACTTAAAATTTGGATTTCAATTCAAGAGCATTTTCGTAAACCTGTTATTGAGCAGCTTAAATTCAAAAGTGATCCTAAAAGATGATTTAGACAAATGAAGGAATCATTTGTCAAAATCATCTTTTAAGATCACTAAAATGCAATGAATTTATGAGTTAGAAAAAATATATTAATTGTTTACAAAAACACTCTCAAATTTAATTATATTTAAACTTAATATTTAACATCTATCTTAATAAAATCTTGAAAAAATTTAAAATGTGTTATAATTTCACAAGTAAATATGTAATCTTTTTTTTTAAATAAGAATTTTGTGCTACAAATAAAACAATTCTTTTTAACATGGAGCAGCTATGAATACTGCTTAAAATATTTTACTTATTGTTTAATAAACTTTTAACCTACCAACATGATAAAAAAATATAATGGTTTTAATTCCTATGCTGCTATAAGCAGAATTATACATGGCAAGATTTTTTTATGCTGGAATTTACTTATTTATTGCATATAACAAAAACAGATTTATCTGAAGTCTTTCAAAAGTTTTAAGTAACTGGGTTTTATCTTACTCAAAGTTTCAGGGCCAATTTCAGCTAACCTATGTATACGTAAATGACTTTTCATGTTGCCTCTCTGAGCATAACCCCGGTCACAAATGGGACACTTAAATGGAGTCTCCCCAGTGTGAAGACGCATGTGCTCTTTCAGATAATCTTCATGATAGAATCTTGATCCACATATACTGCATTCTGCTGGTCTTTGACCTGGAAATAAAACATTAAATGTAGTGAAAGACTTCTACATAGAAAACTGTTCCCAACATTAAGTACTGAACTAAAATTTACAAAAAATAAAAAAAAAAACTTTTACCAACAATCAGAGAAGGATTCTATACTATGCTTTACTGTTGCTTATTAATATAAGAATATATAAAGTATTGAATTGGACTGAAAAGCAATTTTTATTTATCTAAAAACAGCTACAGTTCGAATTACCAAAGTATTGAAAATTTTTCGAAATGACTTATGCTGCTTGACATAGAATTCTCAAACTTTAAAACAATTTGAGAGTTTGTTATATCTTGATGTGTGGTTGTATTCTTTTTTTAAACATAAAACGGCCAGCAAACATTTATAAAACCAGGATGATTTCACAAAAGTGAGCTAAAAATGCACATGTAAAAAAAGAACAACTGTTAAATACTCTGTTACTCCGTGATCATGGCGCTTGTTACAGTGCCGAAATATTGGTGACTCATAAAAGACTGTTACATAGGCTCCAATATAAAAGTCATTAATCATAACATACTGTGAATTTCCATAGAAATGAAAGTGTTTATTTCTATGGAATAGTAATCAAGTTTCATGGATATAGTAAGTTATTTACATAATAAATCATACCTGTATGCATTGATCTTTCATGAACAATCACTGACTTTTGACATTTATATGTTTTATCACAGATTTTACAAGCATACACTTTTGGAGGATGCAGGTGTTTGTTGTGGACTTTATTATTATGGGATGTCAATTCTCCTTGGAATGCAAAAGCATGCCCACAAATAGAACATATGAAGTTCTTCACAACTTCGTGTCTTCTCTTTCTATGTCTACTGAGATCACGATCAGAAGCACACACTCTTGGACACTCTGGACATTTTGCAGGCTTTTTAAAATGCACCTTCCTTTTATGATTTGATAATTTGTCCTGATTTTTGAAAACTTCCCCGCAGACATCGCAAAGCTTTGGAGGGTCAGGTTTTTTAATTTTTGGTATTTTTAATTTTACTTCCCTCACATGTTTTTCTGGAGGTTTCAATCTTTTAACATTCCTACTTTTTAGTATTCCAGGTCCCTTTTCAATTTTCAAACTGAAATACGAAATAGGTTAAATCATTACTCTAATTAGATACTTAAAAATACTAGGAACTTCTTATATTACAACATAAGCTATAAGTTAGAAATATCTTTATATTACCACCATTTATCTCCTGTCCAGGTGAATTCACCCTCTAATAATGAACTGGCTATTTTATTTGTTTTATTTTTAGTTTGACATTTTATTTTTCTTACTGTTAGTTCCTTGTTTGATTTTATTTTTGCAATTTCTTTATTTGAAACGGAATTCAACTTTTTGAGATGTAAAGGTTTAATCAACTCAGCCAGACACTCATTGTCATCAATATCATCAAAATCATTAGGCTCTGTTTTAATTCTATCTATTTCTATTTCAACTTCAGAGTGATCATTCTCACTACAGTGCCGATTGTAATTTTCATCTTTGATAACCAACAAACCACTTTCTAAAATCTTGGATGACTCGTTATATTTGTTTATAAAATTGCAAACTGTTTCTAAGGTTTCTACACACAATCCACACAAGTTTCTAGGAAGTCCTTCAATATCCTCCACCTGAAATTATTATTGGATATTTTTTAGTTTGATATGAAACAATATTATTTACGAAATATGGTTATTACGAAAGGGAAACTAGCCTTTTCCTTAAGACAGTTAGAAAGTTTTGTCCAAATGTTATCTTGTTCATTATTTGCCTCAAATATCGGATGCGATGCACCTTCTTCAAGGCAAATTCGACATACATTGACCATGTTTTTATTCTCCATCTGTTATTTCTTTTATTGATTGATACACATTATAATTATATCGTGATACCAATTAACATCTTAAGAGCTAAATCATTATTTTGCTAATTTCTATAATAAAAATAACATCTAAACATCAGCTGAACTGACAACTGACATGATGATGATGATTGACTTCTGACATTGACGTATCTTAGTGATGGGCGTAATGATGATAAATAAGTGATTAATCGGTATATGAATAATAAACGATATTCGTTTTTATTTTACAAGATTAACTCTACACGTTGACCTATCGCTGCGACATCGACAGTATGGATGCGACCGTTATTAGTTACTCAGCAATAAAAATTAATGGTACACAAACCTTTTGTCCTGTGTTGAAAATCAATTCCACTCTGATTATTGTCAAACATACGTACGTGGTGGTGTAAGTTCAACTTTTACGAAATCTTACTCCATGTTTGGCCATCGTTATTGGCTTTGGCCGCAACGTGTAGAGAAGACATCACACGATCACAAGACCTGCCAGAGACAATTATTTTTATCATCTATTGCTGTCATCAGGTGATCAGGATTTTGAGCTGAAAATCCTGAATTGGGATAAAACGCAAATAATTTAAATAAAATGTCAGGGAGAGATAGATTAGCGATTTTCCCGTCTCGGGGGTAAGTAATTTATGGTTTATTTTATTGTAGATTTTTCAAAAAAAAAAGAAATGGCTGGTGTTTCGGGTTGGGTTGGATTTTAATTTTTTCACAACTCGTTTCCAGAGCTCAAATGTTAATAAAGGCCCGTTTGGCTGGAGCTCAAAAAGGCCATGGACTGTTAAAAAAGAAGGCTGATGCTCTACAAGTCAGGTTTCGTATGATCCTGAGTAAAATTATTGAGGTAATTATGACCATATTACGAATCTGATTTTATTTTGAAATTGGCTCTACCCTAGTAATTCACTCGTTTCAGTGATTCAATGTAAAAAAATATTCACGTTGGTGATTCTAATCAATTTTATTTGGAAATTTTAAAATTGATTTGACATACATAAATCTTTTATTTATTGTACCTCATTAGTGGTAGAGAATGGTTAATTATGAATTTATACTTAGTTTGTGAAAATTAAGCTTTAAATTGCTGTCGATTCTGCTAAGATTCTCTGAACTTTAAACAAAATTTAACATCATTCTCTCCTTTTCATTCTGTGTAGAGAATGACAAGGATACACTTGTCAAAGTTAAGGTTTAGTGAATCATGTCAGAATTGACACCACTTTAATAGTAAACAGTCCTAGTTTAGTTAAATAAGTTTTTGGGTACCTACTGCTATGCATGCATATTTATTAAAATTAATTAATTCAAATACTCGGAATAAAACTTAAATATAACCAAAATAAAAAAGTTTCTATTTCATAACTAAATAAATAATGCATATTTTTCAGAAAAGCACTAGTTCAATTCAATTCTGGTTGTAGTAGTCTGTTTTTTTGCTTTTAGAAGGCCTGGATGTAGTTTATTTTTTACTAATAGAAATTTTGTATATGATAAAGTAATAATGTGCCTATTGTTTCTTGTATATAGAATTTACGGATAATAGCTGATTGTAGATTTCTTGTATAAAACTAAAAACTATCAGTTGACCTAAATAAAAGATTTCATTAAATTCATTTAGTTATAATTAAAAATTTCTTTGACATTGATTAGTTTTTTTAGTAATTATATATGAATAAGTAGAAAAACATAGTATATTTTAAGTAATTGTATAATGTCTATGCAGTAAACAAATCAAAAAGTGATTAATTCATTTAATCATATGTCTTAACTTATTCTAGACAAAAACCCTTATGGGTGAAGTGATGAAGGAAGCTGCATTTTCTTTGGCTGAAGCTAAATTCACTACTGGAGACTTCAACCAAGTAGTCCTGCAGAACGTAACAAAGGCGCAGATCAAGATTCGCTCTAAGAAAGATAATGTTGCTGGTATGTAGATGAAGTCATTTATTTTAAGATAAGTCCTATTGCAAACAACTTTTATGATACTATTTTCCATTAAGTGGCCTGTTCACGGGTACGGTAAATCTTATAGTTGTTTTATACTGTACTTAGCAAATATATGGTAAACTATCCTAGTATCTACTGTGAATAGTATCAGTAGTTATTTTGTTATTTTTCTAGTAAAATTTTCTTAAGATTTCAAATCTAGCAGTTAAATGGTCAAAATAAATTATAGAATATAAAATGTTGGAGTAGTACAGTAACTGGCGCAACTCTACCACTTACTTACCCCCAACCTGTAGTCACAAGTACACAAAGGGGGCCCAATCTTTCTTGGCTGTGGAACCTTTTTTACAATTAAAAAAAACTGCAGAGCTCATGTATTGTCTTTTTTTTTGCTTAAGATTGTATTTAATCAATAAAATAAAAAAACGCTGACCCTTAAAATGAGGTTTATGGAACCATTGGTCTACACTATACTGCACACTATTGCCACTCAACCTGTGTAAATACTTGATGTGACATGCATGGACTAAGTTTCTTCCGCCTTCGCAGTGGAAGAATTAAACTAAAAGTTAATTAATTTGTTATTTTAAGCATTGAACTGCTGGATTTGTAATCTAAAGAAATTGTTTGCGTAAATCTACTCTACTAGCTATGTGTAAACTCTACCAAACTTTGGTTACTTAGAATTGGTAGAGTAGTGTGCTAGTTAACTACCGCTAGCTCTATCCTTGTACAGGACCCTTTACACACAGCTATGTTGTTTGTGTGGAAAGTGATCTGAATATTTCTGAAGAAAATAAACAGACTACTTTTTTGAAGTAAGAATATCCTAATAATCCTTTAAAAACGAATGTTCTTCCACAGCATTTAAAATAAATTGTTATTACCAAACCAAATTTGGCTTTAAGAAAAAAAAAACTGTACATAGTTGTTCATATTTGACAATATCTGGCTGATGCACATAGCATATTTTTTTCAGTAACTTCTGTTCACGGTTACTAGCAGGCTTTATATTTGAAAATCGCTTAGTAAGTTAACTAGAGTATATAAGTCATATTGTTGGAAATGTCGAAAACGCCAAAAAGTGTACATAGTAGCATTATGAAATTCCACCTTATGTGTAAACTTTGCATGGTAGCTTTTGAAAATAATTTGAGCTTTCTATTAATACAATGCATTTTTTTTAATTAAATTTAATTGTGTGGAGAAGTTTTCGAAAAAAATGTATGGGATTCCTATCTTTTTAGAACAAAAGAATGGGGTAATATACCCCTGACAGAAAAGACAAACTTATAGAAAGCCCCTGACATCAGATATTGTAAAAGATCCAAGCCATTGAATACTTCTATTTATGACTGTATACCAAAAATGTAAACTTTTCATGTTCATTTGGAAGTTCATTTTATCAAGAATGATTATAAAGAAAATATTACTAGAAAAAATTCCATGCGGACTAGGCAGCAGACGGGATTCGAACCAGCATCCTTCGTTAACTGGGCGAATACACTGACCAATTATGCTTCTACCACTGGAATGAGGGGATGAAAGACTCAACCCTTTTCAAGATAGAATTCGGTTGCTTTAAAACACCAATAAAAAGACAAAAACAAAAAAATTATAGATTAACTAGCTGTCCCAGCGAACTTCGTACCGCCATAAAAAAATGAGGTTGGTGGGAGAAGGGTGAAAATTTGGGGTTGTATGTATTTTTGTATGATGTAGCATAAAAAAATTAAAAAAATTTTATCTATAATTGAAAAAAAAAATTTAGGGGTGGATTACCCTTAACATTTAGGGGGATGAAAAATAGATGTTGTCCGATTCTCAAACCCACCCACTATGCACACAAAATTTCATGAGAATCGGGAAAGCCGTTTCGGAGGAGTTTAACGACAAACACCGCGACACGAGAATTTTATATATTAGATGTAACAACTTAATGATTCCAGGTGTTACACTGCCCATTTTTGAGTCATACCAAGATGGCTCTGACACATACGAGCTGGCGGGTCTCGCTCGTGGTGGGCAACAATTGGCCAAGCTGAAGAAGAACTTCCAGAGTGCCGTGAAACTTCTTGTGGAGCTGGCGTCTCTGCAGACATCTTTTGTGACCCTGGATGAAGTCATCAAGATCACAAATAGGCGTGTCAATGCCATTGAGCATGGTATGTTATACAATATCATATTTCTTTATTACGAATTTGTAGGTCTTATCCCCAGTATTCTTGTTTATTGCATTTCATTTAATCTTTGTGCTTATTACTACATACTTACTAAAAATTGAATGTTGTCTACATGATTTACACTGAGACTAACTTTAATCCGCGTTTTGGAATAATACTTTTGATATAATTCGACTTTAAATGGCAATGTAATTAATTCCTCTTGCCATCCTCTGTACAGTGATCATTCCGCGATTGGAGCGTACTCTCGCTTACATCATTTCTGAGTTGGACGAGTTGGAGCGTGAAGAGTTCTACCGGCTGAAGAAGATTCAGGACAAAAAGAAGATCATCAAAGACAAGGCAGAAGCGGTGAGTGACAGTTTTGATGGCGCGTTCGTTAATTCCATCATTCTCATGGTCATTTTTAACATTCATTATTTAGGGAAGTTTTGTTATGTGTGGGTTCGCTGCCTAACTTAAAATTTGGGGTTTTATGTTACGCGTAGGTCTTAATATTGAAGGCGGGTTGAAATCGTGTGCATGCATGACAAAATAGGGGAAAGGGTTCTGTAATAATAGGGTTTGATAGCTTCTTTCTTATAATGCGACTAGGTGCAGGCAGCGAACTTAATGTCTTATACCTATGTATACACGGGGTCGATTTAAACTGTTTTGAAAAATATAACTACAGATAAGATGATGTTAGATGGGTGCAATTATTTTTAAAGAAGATTGCTCAGCTTTCATACATGTTTGGCCTAAAGACCAATAATCATGAAAAATTGTTTCCTAGATTCGAAATTATATATAAATTACTGTAGAAACAAATATTATTGACGGACACCCCTGAGAACTTCTATAAACCATATACACTGAACATATTAAAATAATAAAAAACAAATAAGTTATATAGTAAACTAGAGAAATCAAGCCAAGTACCGAAATTATGGATTAGATTCAGGTATATAGAGCATGAAGATTAACAGATAGTTGCCTATTTTTAATGTTAATGCATAAGAGTAACTTATAAAATCAGATGTCACATATGCATTTCCGGTTATAATAAGGTACTCTGTGACAGAAACTGTGTGATGATTGTGATGATTTTAGATTTTTAGTGCATCACGCCTTATAGGTAATTTTATTTATTTATTAATTTATAGTCAGGCAACATAGGTCCATAGATAGATACCTTAAAGTCTAACATATATACAGATTATAATGTGTTTATGGAGGTGTTTGGCGAAAAATGTATGGCAATAGACTTTATGATGTCGCCTACCATCTATAATAATTGTCTGAGCACATTTGCATGAAGTGAAAATGATAATATAGTTGTGGATATTAATACCATAGTGTAATAAAAAAAATGATTTATTTTATCGATCTTTACAAAATAGATTTGTTTTTATGTTATATAAATAACTTCGCCATTACACCCATAGCCATTAAAAATGATTCGTATGTTTTCCAAACCGGTAAAATTAAAAGTCCTTTTTAAAGTAAATATATTATACAAAGGTGTCCGTTGAAATCTAATGACTGTAAATTAAATTATAAATTACGCCAAGAATTACCGTGTATGTCAATATTTTTTGTGCGTTTGGGCCAATTTGAGCAATCTCCTTTAATCATTATTGTCTTTAATGAAAAATGTTAGACTTTGAAATACAATTATACTGATCGGTAAGGCCTACTCATTTGAGTCGGTAGGCCTAATGCGCATATCACTATAACTTATTTTGATTACCTAGATGTTGAGCCTAGACTCCAGAAACGAAAACATTATCGTGTAAAGCCAGCTATTACTTTAATCAAAGTGTATGAAACTCATGGCAAAATATGATTCATTATGATGTTATTTAAATCAAGGCAACAGCATACACAAATAGCACGCAATATTCACTAAGCACAGATAGCGCGCTATTATATCCACCTCCAGTCAGCATTAACTAACTGCTCAGAAACAGTAGTACATCTCGTTCAAAAACATAGTTAACTGTAATTTTAGAACAGGGAACCTGTAACCAAAACCGCCAATTAGGTAGTCAGCCGATAACATAATCCTGCTAAGTCGGTGACTTTGGTTGTAGATCGCTACTTGGATAGTATTGATATTCAATTTTAATAGTCTCTTATGAGAAGCAGATTAAAACTATAGCTCGAGTAGCTGAATGTCAGAATAAATCGATCGATCGATCAACGATAATTTTGATTAATTTCTTGAGTCCTTTCATCCTAATTGAGACTATTTAAATTTACAGCTATTTTATGTTTCATTTTAAAGGTTCGCACACATGCAATACAAAAAGATTAATGAGAATAAAAAAGATGTTGAGATATCAAAATTCGAAACACCATACTACAAATTTCCCAATTTTCTGGTAGATTATATTGAATTTGATAAATATTTTTCATAGACTCCTTGTCCTGTCAAGCAAAGGTTATCCAATTTGGTGTAGTCTTTCGGAAGTCATACGCGTACATACATACATTTCACGTTTTATTTTTATCATTACTTATGTAGACACAAATTTAATTATTTTACTATTTATCATTAACAAGCTATTCATTTAATTACTTTTTAACGTTTAATTTATTATAATTTCTTCCTAAAAAGTCTCAAACAAAAGTCAGGAAACGCATTATTTTGTAATTTTATCAAGGAACCAAGTATTAACCAAGAAAAGAATAAAGGCCCTGGTCTGACCGGATCTATTGTCGTTTGCAGAAGAAAGCGGCCGATAAGCTACTCGAGAGCGGCAAAGATTTGCACGATATTGCCAACCTCCTCGATGAGGGAGACGAAGATCTCCTCTTCTAAATACCGCATCGTACCGCGCGCGTTCGTACGTAGGTATCGGGGTAGTTACCGCTCGACCGTACCTTACCGACTGAACGGAACTCTGTGGCGATCTCTGTGATAAGTCAGTTGTACCATAGACAAGGTAAACGAAACTTAAAAAAAGTGTAATTGGATTAAGGTTGCAGCGCGTATTACTTTTTAGGAATAGGAATCGTTTCGAAGACTATTTGGTTGTGTCATTGTCGTGTGGCATCCAAACATCATACAGCATTGACAACGCAATGATGTTAAATTTTGTGCTACATAACTTACAGGTAGTCCTCGACTTACGTTGTTTCGATTTACGTCGGTTCAAGTTATGTCGAACAATGTTTTGACTCTTCCTCAAATATACGTCCAATTGTTTCGATTTCCGGCACAGGGGAATTCACTTGTCGCTAGGTCAATACGTGGGGGCGGCGTCCGTGGGGATGTCTCGACTTAGGTCGTTTCGCGTATTTCGAGAACCTAACATGCCGTAAGTACGAGGACTGCCTGTATTGTCAATCTAATAGCAGTAATTTGAAGCGTTTTTTTTATATTTGACGTGGTTTGCAGGAGAACTTAGCATTGCATTTACATGTGCAAGTGATGATTATCTGTTTTAACAGAAACAAAGCACATCATTTTGCTCACTTTGTTTTGTTACCGATTTGCTGCAAATATGAAATCGCCATGAATTAAGTTCCATATCGGGGAGGCGGTCGAGCGGTGTTACGTGTACAAAATGCTTTGCGTTCCAAACATCTCTAAGCACTTAACACAGCCGCTCTCATGTTGTAATGTCCGCACGTTGCACTCTACCATCAGTCATAGACAAAAAGAGGCGGGGAAATATTCTCAATTCATACTCTATGGTCTTGCTTTACGTCGCATACTCAATTACTCATCCATCTTTGTGCCGTGTGGTTTTGGGTTTGAAAGTGTTATTAATATAGTTGAATACATATTAATTAATGAGTTGAAATTACTAATAGTTTGGAAATGTGAAAACTGTAGAACTTGTACTAATAGTTTTACTAAAAGTGTGTATTATAAACTTTCAGGAGTTACGTCTGTGTTATATTTTATATTTACTTTAGTTGATCATTTGTTTTCCGTTAACTACAATTCTATTATGTTAAAATTGTTTTTTTTTTGTATTTTATTTAAAATTTAGATAATTAACCCTGCTTAAAAACAATTTAAAACAAACATAGAACCCCCAAAAATTATGCAGGGAAGGGAATAAATTAGGAAAGAAGAAAACAAAAAAATATGAAAGTTGAGATGAAGATTAAGTAAGTTCGGAACATCTTTCGTTCACCAACCAACGATATTAAAAACCCTAGATACACCACGAGTGCTCAAAATTTGTCACAATCAAGAAGTGCTTGAACACCACTGAAGCGCTTCTTGGTTCACAGACACGCGCGGACCGTTGAAAAGTCAACATGCTGCAGAGCTCCGTGAAAAAATGCGAAAAATATACTTATAGTACGTAGAGTGTCGTTTATTCGACAGGTACCTATTCATTGTGTGTCAATTTAACGTATTTGTATTCGAAGAAAAAATGTTCTAATACTTACTATAAATTGATTTAATAGAAAATTAAACGTCTTTTCCTCGCGCGCCGTACCTGGTATGTTGCGCATTCAGAATTACGCGTTGAATCAAAGAAATAAAGTCTTTATTCTTCCGCCTATAGCAACAGGTCGTAACATTTTACGAGCTTGAATTTTGAATTGTCTTTACTTACTTTGAATTTAGACTATATACTTTTTAAACTTTTAGAAATATGAAAAGGATTTTTTTATGAACCTTCTTTATTTCTATACTTAGTTCCACTATTTAACCGATTAGCTGGCTTAATCAGTAGGTAAATCTTCATTAATAACTCTTAAGCTTAAAAATTAAAATAACAAAATTTCATACATACCCTAATCCTCCAATTTTAATTATTTTGAGGATGAAAGATTTATGTCCCTCAAGTCGACGAAGTTTCATGAAGCAAAAAAGTTTGCTATCTCAGATTAGTTCTGAGCGGTAAGTGGAAACGCAGCATCTAATTTTACAGATGCATTCTCGATAATTTTTACACTCGATCTACTAATATAACTTTTAATCGCTAACTTATAAAGGCGCTATGAATTTCCAATTGTATTGCAACGGAATTACAAGATAGTCATTTTTTTCTTTACATATCTCAGAATGTAAAAATGCACGTGGTGTGATGTCTGGATTTTGTTTAATCCTTTGCTGCCTGAAGATGGGTGTTCTTTTGTGACTGTATATTTACCATTGATATTAAAAAAAAAAACTAAACACCTTCTTTTGTTCGTTTGATCGTAAATTTATTTGCGTATGTTCACGTAGATTTAGCGAGCGTGGCGGTAACTTGCGCCAAAAATAAAGCAGAACATGAGCAATAAGTACATAATTAGTATTATACTTATTTAGTTAGTATGTATACCTAATGGCTTGGGGCATTATTCCTATTGTCCTGGTGGTTTAAAACTAGCTCGGAAGTTATTTTGATTCTTCTTTTATTACTTCACTGCAAATATAAAACCAAATACATAAAATAAAAAATCGCACAAATATGTTGTTTTGCCTAAGTCGAAGCAATACTTGGTGATTTTGTCAGTATAAATACATTGTGATAGAGATGATACAGCAAAAAACAATGACTCGTTGGTTTACGTGCACAGACGCCTGTAACCCGTTTAGGGTAGTGATACACTTGCCGAAAGTGGCGTAACGCGATGAACGATTTATAAGCCATAATAACCATGCTATATTTTCGGCAGGTATGTCGCTGAACTCTGACGTTGCTCTTTACTGACATGACCAAATCTATTTTCAGAAAAAAGCCGCCCTCAAAGCAGCTGGTTTGGACGTGCACGATGCGTCCAATCTCTTGGACGACACTGAGAACGACATCCTGTTTTAATCCCGCGCCTGTATTTCCCTAGCCTAGCTGTTTGTAGTCGTGCAGTCAACGCGCCAAAACGCAGTGACAGTTTATTGTGACGATCGGCAGAATGCTTTAACGGCCGTTTCTTATATTCTTTGCCACAGCAAGAGTTAGGCGTACCTACCGTGGTTTAGTTTGTAGGCAATTATTAATTTCAATAAATTAACAAAAACCTCTCAGCATCTACGCTCTATATGATATGTGATGTTTCCAGCACTTTTCCATTGATTCCAAAAATGTTTTTCTGTTGTTGGCGTTTGTTAAACAAAAGTCGAGGGTACCAATGTGTAACTGAAGCGACTAATTAAAATTGTTTCTCAGAACGGTCCTATACGGTCAGCCTAAAGTATATTTGTGTACCCAGCTTAATATAACTTAAAATTATTTGTAAAACAGTGTCAAAATCTATTAATAAAAAAAACTGTAGGTGTCTAACAAAATTACAGAGTTAGTTTTATCTAATATCCTCAATTAGCAGTATATATTAAATAAGTAAAGTTTTGTTGGGAATCGTTGGAAGTATATTTTTTAAGTGCGTGCACAATGATATTAAAATAATAGTTACTATTTACAATTTGTGATTTAATATGTACAGTAATTGAGCTACTGGAAATTTCGAACAGTATGTTTAATTGGGCTAAACGCATACATAATAAAGTGTTAGATAAAATATAAAACGTCATTTGACTGCATATAACGTAGGTGTTACAGTGTTCATTACTACTTTGTAAATACTGTATTGTTGTCCATGTTAAATATTTACTAAACGCGCTTGAATATCTTTGTATCTTATTCCAGCGTAACACGGTTTGAAGTGCAATGGTATTTAATGAAGTGTTTTTGATCAGATGGTACCGTCTGGTAATTATGTAGTATGAAAGCATTCCACCAATATTTCGTTTTTCGATAAGCAGTTCTATGAAATCACAAAGTCCTAATGTTGCATAGTTCAGTATAAGTACACCCGAAATGTTTTTAGTTGTTTTTTGAATTGTTGTTTGGTATTATAACAATATAATTTAAGTGAGCATCATGTAAATACAAGTTTATGAACGAAATATTAAAATATTATTATTGAACTGAACTTTGTTTTAATCAATCATATTTTGAAAAATTTCCAGAAAAGGGCAATGCGGATATGTAAAGCGACTTTTATGTAAAAAAAAATGGCAAACATGCGTATGGCCCACCTGATGGTAAGATTATTAAAAGGTATAAAATTATATGGTATATTAAACGTAATGTTTGCGGTACCAAAAATATCACTCGCACCGTCGCAAGCCCTGCCTCAATCCCCTTCCCCATGTAGCCCTGGAACCTTACACACCGACAGAAACGCAACACCAATGTATGGTGGAAGTTACTTCCCCAGATGGACGCTCCAATTCGAGCTGAAAATCTTGCTTTCGAAAAACCTCTCATAAGACTTTATTTTGGAAAGCATTTGATCACTTATGCAAAGGGCGTCATATTTGCCACCCCGAGACATTAAGGCTGACCTTACACTGAATCATAAAATGAATTCATATTATTAATTTGAATGAAATTATTAATTTTAAATTGATAAAATTGAGGTTAGGATTAGTGGCGGACTAACAGGGGGGCGGAAGGGGCGGCCCGCCCCGGGCCTCCAGTCTTGGGAGGCCCCAAATGCGTACGCGTTCCCCTGATCAAATCCTAAACAAGACTTTAAGGCGCTTAGCAGACGACGGGGCGGGGCGGGCCGGTCAATTTCGCCGCGAATAATAGCACAAAGTGAATCCTATACTTCAAACGCACACAGAGGGCAAAAAGACCGCGCCGCAGGTGCCCGGCGGGCAGTGGCGGCGCGGCATGTCCGCGGCTGCCCGCCGTGGATCATACTAACCAGTTTATATGCAGTAACGCAGACGGCGGCGCGGGGCGGTCAGCTCAGTCCGCGCCACGCGCTTATTAGTGATGGACTATTTACTAGAACGAACGTCCTAAACTGACCGCCTCTGCCCGTCGTGTGCTTTGTGTACGCGGCGCGGGCAGCCGCAGACATCGACGGGCAGACGCGGTCTTTATTGCTTCGCGGACAAAATGCCCGCCCCGCCCCGTCGTCTGCTCAACGCCTTAAAATGTGCTTCGTACCTACATAATTTCACCAAGACCAAAACACTACAGCCATCTAGAAATTTTACGCGGTACTAATATTCTTTTAACTTTGCTGAACGCGTCTAATACGTTGGAGGAATTCCCGTCTTTGTAGCGGGTACTTCTTCAGGAATCTTTGAATGAATGAAGTGCAAATAATTCACTCTTGTACGCCTACATTTACATTCACTACATTATATTTACGTCGAAAAATAAACATTGGCCTCATTTAAAATATACCTATGTATTAAATATTATTACGTTAATTTAATAGTTAATTAGTAACCGATATTTTCATGAGCGAATAAGCCTTTTATAAAATTGTAAAGTAATAAAAAAGGGGACGTTATTTCCCCTAAATTGTTCACTAATGCAATGGAAGATATGTTCAAGACGCTGAACTGGAAAGGACGTGGCATCAAGATAAATAGCGAACGCATCTCTCACTTGCGATTTGCAGACGACATCGTCATCATGGCAGAAAGCCTGCAGGACCTACAAAAAATGCTGAATGACCTAGCTGACTCTTTTATACGCCTCGGCGTACGGATGAACTTGGATAAAAGCAAGGTCATGTTCCATGAACATGTTCTACCGGAACCGATTGCAATACACCGTGTAATGCAATCGGTTTTACATGCAAAAACGTCTAATGCGCAAGTTTATTTGTCTGTGGTTTTTCTTAAGAAGTTTTCCGCTACCTATACCTCTGGAGTTCTTCTGGAGTGACGGCCAGGTGATAAAATTGATCCTCCAAGTACTCCTCATGTGCATGGCATGTGCTATAGGTAGACCGAACTGAGTCCTCGCCTGCTGCAGGCTAAAGGGTGTGGGGGGAGGACGAAAACAGGGACCGGAGGTGCGGGCGGTAGGCACATTCTTGTTAAAATTTGAAGTGCCCGCCGCACCTCACGGTCCCCGTTCTCGTCCTCCCCTACACCCTGTACCCCGCAGGTGAGGACTCAGTTAAGCGGTTTACCTATAAGTGGTCGATCAGTTATAGTCGGTAGCTGTCATGTTATACTTAGCACACGTTATTCAGTCTTCACCAGGACTACAATAATAGTTCAGTTGCACAAGAAATTGGTATTATTCCACAAATAATCGATCTCCCACAAAACAGAGGCCAAAACGCGAACTTTGTCAAATTTTGTATGGAAGGAGCCAGTTTGTTCTTACGTCCGGCGCTGCTTGGTTTTTATAGAAACTGACGATTACGTCGTCAAAGTATAGATTTCTGTATTACGTTGCGCAACAAAACACCTATATCTCAATAGCTCACGACCAAGACAGCGACACGGCCGCGTGAGGAAATCGGTGCACTCGCCCTAACAAAACTATCATAGGTGGTCTCTGTAAGCTGTTGGATGCACCACTGGCTAGGTCGTCATCAGCAGTGGTCCCTGCACTGCCGCTGGCGCTGGGGGCAAAACTCAGGTCGTGGCCGACCCCTGCCGTCGGAGTGCCAGCGCGAGCTAGCAAACTTCACCTTGCAGGCCTTTTTTATGTGGGAAAATGCATGACGCATATCCGCTCATTAAATAAAACAAGAAGGTGAGCGAGTTTTGTCGGACTCTCCCCTGCACACACACTACGAGGAAAACAAAATTTCCCCCAGGCGGTAGGCACGAGCCTACCGACTAAAACCCTACGGCGTTTCCGTCCTCAGCGATGGATTGTGAAATCGAAGTAACAGCCAGGCTATGTGACTGAAACCAATCTCCTAGAGTCCATGAACCGTACAAACAGAAACACAGCAATACAAAAGCTGGTGTTATTTTTATTATGGTCTTCTGTAAATCGTAAATGATCAAAGATAAGGGGCCGCATCAACAGCAATTTTTTAAAATGTTGTCATTTAAAAAACTGACGTTACGCCACGAAGCAGTGGAGACACGTCGTCCTTCTCAGCAAATTGTGGACCCCTAGTCTTCTCACAATGGAATCAACACTGTACTATTATAAGTGTTATTAGTCTGCACCCTTGTAAGTGGAGTATACCTACGTCCCAGGATAAGTATTGAGAGGAAATCCATTTTCAGGATTGATCATAGTTGTGTTTGTGGTTTGCATAGGAAACGAAATAATTAATCATAAATTTTATTTAAAACTAAACAATAATTAATTCTTAGTCATACGTAAGTACATCATTTCGGCAATCGTAAGGGCCAAATAAAGTCTACAAATTGCCTTCTTAGTTACGAACGGTTCCTGAGGAAGTATTTGTCTCCGTGTTTCTCTAGCAACCCGAAGTCCACCGCGCAGCGCAGCATCGTACCAATTGACTTTCCAGTCCTCTCTGGGTTGTCCACTACCTTGTAATGTTTCTTCAGGAAGTTGATGATTCTCCGTGACGTTAGGCCTTCATACGAAGGGATCTTGTGGAAGGCCCACAACACTATCGCGGCGGGGACAGACCTTCTCAGACCCAACTTTATCTTATTACAAGTCCGCCCGCTGTTCAGTGTGGTGGAGGAACAGCAGCTCTCACAAGTACTTGGACATCTCGATCTTCTATATTTCATTGCTGCACTCGCGTAGGTGTTATTTGGCTAATGTTTACATGTAAATTTGGAAGCTCCACTTTTTTTTGACAATTTTGAAGTTTTAAAGTGATTTATTGAAATTGATAGCCCATTTTGATAGATTTGAAGTTTGAACTAAAGAGAATATTGTATTCTCTACGTCCTTGTCTGTTTTTCAAGATATTAGGAAACACTTAAGTCCATGATTTCCATAGAAGGAGTTAAAGTATAGTCATTTGCAATATATTCTTCTTTAATAATTTCATACGTTTGAACATCTGAAGTTAGAGTGGGCCACCCACGAACTATTTATGGGGCCACCTACCTATTTTTTTATATTATTTTAAATATAATTATATATACCCAGTAAACTTTAAAAGAGGCGTGAAGAAGCAACATGCAGGCAGGCAAGGTGAGGATGGCTGGTGTGGCAGGTAGAACTGCTGTATCAGGCTATCTTCGTGTCTCCTTCACTTAACATCAGGTAGGGTGGAGACATTTGTCGTACCTACCTATAAAAAAAAAATTGAGACTAGGTATCGAGTGAACTTGTTTAGTTATTAATTTGACATCGATTTGTATTAAGATTTCCTTTTTCTAATTATGTTTTGGAGTTCCTGACGTAGAATATTAGTTCCAGTAGAGTTCTGCATTATTTATCTTCGCAACCGGAATTCAACCCACTTGACATCAGTATTTGCCGGGCCTTGTACAAAAAATTGTAGGAAAGTTATTTTCCTAGAATTGTTGTGCAATGCATACCTACAACATAGTAATTGCGATCGTAATATCTATTTTTGTTCAGAGTTAAACATTTATGTAGAATAGCCGAAAAAACCATTAACAAAGAACTTTGGATGCATAGCTTCAGCAGATGAACGAAATCAAAGATTTTAAATTTTCATATAAAGTACTATTTATATTTATTTCTGAAGAACATTCCTGATATTTTATATTAGGTTTCTATTAGATCTTTTAAGGTCATGCTTTGTTACAATGTATTAATTAGAAGTGTTCTGCGAACAATAGCGGGGTTTTAACCAAAATTGCCTGAAACCCCGACAGTTTAATCAGTCCACATAATTTCCTCCGCCTCCTTGGAATAAAGTGAGAAAAAATCCTACTAGTGCTAGCGGTACGTAAGTTTCTTTGGATGAATGGATGTTTGCTAATCTTTTACGCAAAAATGGCTGAACGGAGTTGAATAAAATTTGGCACACATATAGTTTATTATCTAGATTGAGACATAGGATACTTTTATTCCGAAAAAAATGTCGTAGTATACTTTGACATTGATAAAAAAATCAAATACTACCTTTAATAGTATCAGGGTGACCACATACAGGAAAATCAAGGTAATGTTCCACCTCCTTCAGTCTTAGCTCACTGCTGAGCGTCGTGATGTTCCCGACTCATATTTCCTTCTTACAGCTGCTTCCAGTTTTCTCTATCTTTAGCGCTGTCAAGAGCGTCAGTGATGGTGGTGTTGAGACACTTTGATTCCTGGTCGGTCCAGACACTCAAGTCTCTGTGTTACATTCAACTAATTCAAGATCGATGCATTGAATGAAAATTCAAGGAAATGTTAGGCAAACGACCTCCGTGGCCGAGTGGTATGAACGCCGGGTTTCAAGGTGTCGCAGACTCGAGAGGTCCCGGGCTCGAGTTCCGGTGTGTTTATGATGAATACGAGCATTTGCACTCTAGTCATGGATGTTTAATATGTATTTCTATAAAAATAACATATATGTATCAGTATATGTATTCTATCCGTTACCAGTATCCTATAACACAAGCTTTAGAGTGCTCACTTCTGGGCTAGGCTAATTGGTGTGAGTGTTGAAAATATTTATTTAATCACGAAGCAGTCGGGGCTAATTTGCATTTCAATTGAAATTATTTTTGAATATTTGCAATAATGTACACACATCCAAGGTAAGTTCTATTCTTTGTTTTATTTTACAAGTACCTAGGTATATAAACTCTTAGAAAACAGAACTTAGCTTTAATTTAGCTTAAAAAAGGTACACACTTCTCCAA